TATCTCTCGGATCCTAGTGTAGATAAATGCTATCCGACTTGGATGATTGAATTTTGCATTTAGAGTTTCGTACCCAGGCACGGAATCCACTTGCCAACTGATCCGAGTTTGAATAGGGAAACGAACGATCTAAGTAAGGAGGTAGCTCCAGGAAGGTAGTTCTTTGACCAGTCAAAATAAAGGCAGGATTCTCTCGTCTTTTATTTCCCTTTAATCTGAGAGAGATGTCGTCCTTCCAGTTCCTGATGAATTGAGTCCGCCATCTATTTCATAGTAATCACGAAAAGCAAGCCCTATGTGTCACAAGCAGGCACCTTTTCTTAAAACAAAAAAAAATACATCCCTTCTTTCTTATCGAAAATTTTTAAAAAAAACTAATTTATTTTTACGACGGGTTCGATTTATTTCTTGTGCGATTTGATTCCAAGTTGATTGAGTATTATATTTGATGACAATTACTTTATAATTTTTATTGAAAAAGTAAATTTAAATATATTAAATTTAAAATTAATTTTTTTTGAGTGTTGATATATAAAATTAATATCAAGTTAACCTTCTAACCAATTTGGAGCTAGATGGATTTTATTGACATAATATTTACCACAATAATATCTTAATTAATCAATTGATTATCCCTTCAATAGAGGAATATGTATTATGGGACCAAATAAGAATTGGACCACAACGTGCTTTAATTTAATTCAAAAAGGCCCCTTCCGTACTTTATAATTTAAATGTTACCTCTCGAGTTTATAAAGTGAATTTTTAAAAATTTATTTAAAACAAGTTAATATTTGAAGTTCAAGAAAAACTATTGGAATTCTTTTATTCATATTTTTTATATAATTTTTAATTCCTTATATCTTCTAGAAAAATAGTAATTTATGTCAACGGTATGATTTTAGAAAAACTTTGACAAAGAAGTATGATATTTTCATTTCCAAATTTAATGCAAGAGAAGATGAGTATGGTCAGATTTGTAAGGGCTCGTAAATAAATTCGTGTTATAAGTTATAACTAATTCATTTATTACTATTTTTGTATCGAAAATAAAAGTCCAACTAAATAGTTAAATAATTGTTTATTTTTATTAAAATTATTATATTTATTCAATGAAAGAAACAATCCGGAGTATATTTAATAGCTGCTTGAAAAGTGCTTGTTTGTAGGATTTTCTTTGACTATTCTAAAAAGATAATAATAATAATAATAATGATCCAAGAAAAAAAGAAGACACCACTTTATTTGATTATGTTATATTTTTTAAAAATTAATTTAATTAATTTTTAAAATTAAATTAAATTATATTAATTTAATATTTTAAATAAAAAAATTTAGTTATTTAAAAATTATATAAAAATTACCATAAATTTTAATTTTTTATGTATCAATATAATGAAATTATATTATAAAATATTATTAGTCAGTTTGAAATAAAAATAGACGAAGGGAGTACACAACATGGGTGGGCTCCTACGTTTGTGCCGCCCTAAATAAATGGGAAAAGTTGGTTGTTGGATTTGTTTTTGTGAATAGACAAATTGTAATATAACAAGACAAAAATGCCTTTTTCTTCTGAGCAAATTAATACTATGCTTTTATTACAAAGTCTCAACACACGGATCCACCATGTCCCTTTCTTATTTGACATTTCCCATTCTTTTAATTTGCTTCACCTTTTCGTTTAGATTTATTTAGGGATAACAACTAATTCTTTATTAGGATATAATAAGATCTAATAATATATACGTAATGGGGAATTTACTTTTGAAAATATTTTGTATTTATAGAATCGAATAATTAAATTATTTACGAAGAATCATTCATTTTTTTTTATATGATGTATCCTTTCGTTATTTTCTTTCTAAACTGACGTAACCTTTTGCTTAGTTAAAATTTAAACATTAAATTCAATTCTTGAAGAAACAACTTATTCAAAATAAATTACAAAAAATATAACCTATATAAATTTAAACTTACTCAATTAAATAGACTTCTAAACCTTAAATAAGATTCATGTTGGTCTTTCTTCACAGATGTGGAAACATCCCATCACATATTACAACTATCCTAACAATCACAACTCACAGTGATTGTGCTTGTCCTTCACTAATATTATGGAAAAACTCACATAATTACTTAGATACATTTTAGTTTGCAATATTATGAATTTTATCAAATTTTAATATTCAAATATATCCAAGTACATATATCTTGTGATACATGGAATCAAAATTAGATATAATTTGATCTAAATATATTATACTCAAGTGGATTCATATGTATCTAAGATACACAACAAACCTAGCTCACCTCCTTTCATCTCGCTTGTCACTTTCCTATGTATCTGATATCCTAGATACATGAAAATTACATCAGCTACATACAATTACACATATCTAGCGTATATATAATGTGATTCACATGTATATGAGATACATAACAAATTTCACTCGTTTATCTTTCTATTTTAGTGTTTTTGGTAGCATAATTACATGGATGTAGGTGTATCTTTCTAAATATATGATAGAAAACTCTTAATTAATGATAAGATAAGTAATATTTTAAAAATATAAATAATAATAGTGTATATGGTAATGAAATATGTCTAATTAGGTAATTCTCCATTTTTTTATTCTTAGATTTTTGGCCCAAACAATTGGTTTTAATTTTCATATTACATATTTAACATAATATTGTTATAAATGATAATACATAAAAAATATATCGTTTAAATCAATAATTATTTATTAAAAGAAACATATCTAAGTAATTATTCCATCATGGTATCATGTCCCCTAAAATTCAAAGTTAATATTTTGGAAAAACTACGTATTTATCCATAACTATCACATACACATATTTTATCTCTACTTTTAAAATAGGCATAATAAATAAATATGCCCTTTAACTTGGCTTCAAATCACATTATGCCCTTCAACTTTGGGTGTGCACAAGTAGACACTTAAACTTGTATAAAGTTGAACAAATAGACACACATGTCTTACATGTTATCCTACATGTCATTTTTTGTCCTACGTGGTGTAATACATGTATTTTGCCATGTAGGACTTGTGTTTATTTATTTAAAAGTTGGATAGTAAAAGTGTCTGTTTGTGCATTATGAAAGTTGGAGGTCAAAATTAAAATTTGAAGCCAAGTTTAGGGTCCAATATATGTATTATGACTTTAAAATATTATATAGAATACCACTTTTTAAAAAATATACTGTATTTATATAAAAAAATTAAATTAGATACACAATCCCTTTAAATATGATAATGAATAATTATCTTAAAATGACATCTCCTCAATTAATTGGACACTACCAATTAAAATTAATTTTGCTTTATTCTTTTCGATAGTTTCCCTTCCAAATCCCAAAACAGATACCTCATGTATCCCGCCATTACCCTTTTTTCTTCTTTTTCATTAAATGTTTCCTCTCATATCACAAAAAATATTGTATCTCATTCTCACTCCCACACGTATCCCTTCGTACTTAACCATTTTTATTTCCTTTTGCATGTGCTAAATTCATATCAAACTCTATATAATTAACATTAGTTAAAGTGACAAAGTAAGAGTATCTTTAGTTTTTTCTATTGTATATTTATTTTCAATCTTATCATGTATTTGATTCGATGATTTAGATTTTTTTTAGCCAATTTAAGTTAGGGTTTTTATACTGTTTGTTCCATTTTAATGGCTCATAATTTAGAAAATAAGTATGAATATTGTTATGTATTCGAGAGACATGCTTTTGAATATAATGTATGAAAATTGATACTTGATACATCGAATTAATAAAAGATACATGAAATTAAAATTAGATCTATAAATAGATAAATGAAATTAATATTATCATATAAATAGATACATGAAATTAATACTAGACACGTGTAACATATACACAAAATTAATATTAGATACTCTATGGTACATATGACTCTACTTGTATGATATGTATCTAAGTGTTTTGTTTGTTGGATACATCATATATTGATATAGATACATCAAATTAATGAATTTTATTATTTTAAGAGTAATAAAACGAAATTAATTAAATTGCATGACCAAGATATACATGTTTTTGTCTTTTATAAATAATATTAACGAATTTATTATTTCAAATAATAATAAAAATGAAATTAACTAAAATAGATACACTCCTTGATTTTCGCCTTATATTAAGAAATTTGGTTATAACCAATTAATTCAAACAAATAAAATACGTATCTCAATTTTGAAATTCGGCAGATACATATATCTCACGGATTTAAACTCATGTATCCTAAGTATGAAATATGGTAGAGGAAGTAATATTTAAAACTATTGGGATCTAAGTAATTAGAGCCTAAATTAATGGAATTTATGTAGTTTACCCTATTATTTTCCGTCTTATTTCGTGCTCACTGCCCAATTTTTTTTAATTATTTTTTTTACTCTCTGCCCATTTTAAGTATCATTTCACATTTATTTATTTTTTGAAAATAATACTAGTCCATCAGTCATAAAAATTATATAATTGATCAATCTTTTATCTCTCCTAAAATTGAATAGGAATGATTGAGGAACCTTTTAGGAAATTATTTATATAATTATTGTTTGAAATGATATAATTTATTAAAACAATGAAAAATTTGAAAAGAAAATTTTTACTACTTCTAGATCCCTAAAAACGCAATTCTTTTTAAATTAAATTTGTTTGGTTAAAATGACATTTAAATGGATCTGAACTCTGAAATAGTATAGGTATATGTTTTAATGAGATTTATAACTTCAATATTATCAATGATTTTAGCTCAATTCATTTTGATTTGTTTGATTCAGATTACAAATAAAAGAATCACTCATATCTATTTAAGGGTTAATATTGCCGTCTTTGTATCCGCTTTTTTAATTACTACTGATAAAGTTTTAATTACAAGTATTAAGAGATCAATTTTAATTTGTTAATTATATTTGATTAAAAAATTATATAATGTTATCATAATTAATAGGTGAAAGAAATAACATTAATGAGAGAGAATCAATTGATAAGTATCAATTACACCTTTCGGGAGAGTTTTTTAACTGATCTTCATCCCACTCCCACATACCCACGTTTCTGTTTCTCCCCACGGGCCTAACTATTTCTCTTTCAACCACTTCGTTGTTCTTCTTCTCTATTCAAATGAAAACCTCCACAAATCTTGTACACATTGTGAAGAATAAAAAAGATCAATTACAAACCATGCAGGAAAATAAAAAAAGTACACCATACACCTAGAAAGAGTCTGAGGACCCTCCGTGCTGATCTTGAGGCTCCTAAGCTAATTCTGAGCCCCCTTGTGAATTTTGGCTTAAATTGGAGTTTGGGTGTGAGATTCACTTTTTGTCAAGACAACATCGAATGGAAGTTTTGACTTCTCCCTTGAGTCTAGAAATGTCAAATATGATTAGGTGGCATATCTCTTTTGTGTGCATGGGGTTTTAAACAAAACTTAGCTGATTTTATTGGTACTTGATGTTGGTGCTTACTTTTTCGACCCTGCCTCGTTTAAGCGATTTTGCTTTAGTAGCCAAGGCTCCGCTTTAGCAAGCTAGGCCACTTAAATGGAAGTCGCTTTAGCATCTCTCTCATCGCTTAAACGAGCATCACTTTACGACTAGGGTATCACTTAAACGAGCTTAGCAGGCCAAACCATACCCTTTTTGTGACCCTAGTGTTGCTTAAGCAAGGCTCACTTTAGCGACCAGGGGCTTATGGAATAAACCGCCTCTTGCAGGCCAATCACTTAAGAGAGATAAGTGGTCACTTAAGTTTTAGCGATCCATCCCTCTTTAGAGATTTGATTGCAACAATTCAAAGTCTGGTGTCTTTTTGAGCTTGGGTCTATGCAGTGGTGTGATTGAAAGTGTGTGGCATCTCTCGTTTCAGGTAAATTCGTTCAATTGTAGGCTACCTTATCTTAGTTGTTATCTTTAATGGTGAAATTGTCGTATGTTGTTTGTTCTTGTTGTTTCGAGCCCCGAATTGTGTTCCATTTGGAACACAAGTTTGGGGGTACTATTTAAGACTTTTTAACTTAGTCGATCCCAGAAGTTTCGGCATTGGTGCCATGGTTCCTGTTTGATTTAAAAAGTGTTATGTCTCTATTTTATGTGGTTTAGTGTCTAAAGGAGTGTATTAACATTGTAATCCTATTTTCAATAGCGGGGCAACATTCTGAGGTTGTTCGTAAAGAAAAAACTCCAGATATGTGATTTGGAGCATATGCTGTCAGCCTTAAGGTAGGCTACAACTTTCTTTATCCTAGATTGAGGTTGAATGTGTGAACATATGTTGATTAGAGTCAAATGAGGGAGAGTACCTGGTTGGTTTTCTTTCATAAAAACCATGTTTTAGGCTTGATCGATATTATTTCAGGATTATAACTATACTAGCTAGTTGGGGGCTATGAGTCTATCCTTATCTTATGTTTTGACTTGTAAGTTGTTGTGATTGTATAATTGAGCTTCGACCTAGTATAGGCTTAGACTAGTTATTGCCATAGACTTCTTACATTTAAAACATTAGGCCTTGTTTCTCCTTCGACATTCACTACTAAAATACTGGGGGGAAAAAGAGACGGAAAAGCGACACAGTTAATCTCTTTGTTTCTTGGCTCGATGCTTTTTCAAAAGCGACGGACTGCGTCATATTTTATTTTTTTAAAATATTTTTTTTGAAGAATGTGACGTCGTCTATCACTTATTTTATTTTATTTTATTTTTAAATTAAAAAGAGAGATGAAATCCGTCGATTTAAAATCTTGAAAAGCGACGGACAATGAGACACTATCCGTCACTTTTTTGAAAATAAAAATGTGAAAACTTTAAAAAAGCGACGAACTAAAGAACCATGTACATCACTTTTTTGGGTTTTAAAAATAAATAAAATTAAAACAGCGACGGACTAAAGGAACTTGTTCGTTGCTTTTCTGAATTTTTTTTAAAAATAAAATCCAAAAAAAATGATGGACAAAATCATTTTGTTCGTTGCTTTTTTCTAATATTTGTTTGACACAGAAACTGCCAAATTCTGTTACTCATCTGCAAAATCAATTCAATTTAATTGAAGTCAAGTCAACTCAATCCCAATCAAACACAAAACATTATAAAGAAGCTACACAAAATGTAAAACAACAAACATAAATTAATATTCAAACATATCTAAATCACAATTTAAAGACTTATAAAGTCTTTCAAAATTCGTTTCAAAATTACAAATAATTCATAAAGACTATATTTTATCAAGATTTTTAAAGTTCAACCTAATAATTAGTTCATAAATTCTATAAATTAAGATTTCTAAAGTTCACAACCTAAAATTTAATATCCTACAATAATTCAAGATTTCTAAAGGTCACAACTTAAAGTCTAAAATTCCAAAATAATTCAAGATTTCTAAAGTTCACAGCCTAAAGTTCGAAAATCCTAAAATAATTCAAGATTTCTAAAGTTCACAACTTAAAATTTTAAAATCCTAAAAAAACAACTTTTCTAAAATTTATAACTTAAAGTTCTAAATTCATAACTTAAAGTTCTAAAATTCTACAGTAATTTAAGATTTCCAACGTTTCACAACCTAAATCTCCAATTTTTCTAACTTCAACTTTCAAACGTACTAAAATTCAAGAACTTTTCTATGTAGAAAAATTCAATTAATCTCATTTTAACTTTCATATACAATTCAATGTGTTTCTAACTTCAACCGTCAAACATACTAAATTCAAGAATTTCAAAGTTGAAAAATGCAACTAATCTAACTTCTAACTTCTAACTATTTGTTTGTTCTATTTTCTAACACTCAATTCACTATCATATTTGAAAAACACTAAATTAGAAGAAAACCCTAAAATAAAAAATTCTCAATTCTCTATCTAACTAACAATAATCAAATATACAAATTAACAATTGAAAATAACACTATTCATCAAACTAAAATAATATACTAGTTTTTAACAGATCAAATATTACTAGAATTGAAAAAAAACTAAAATTAAACTCTAACCTTAACAAGTTAAGGAAAAGAGGCAGTGGGGACGACGGGTGGTGACGCCAACGGGGAAAGGGTACGATGGAACTAATGCTCAAGGAGAGAAGAGCGACGATGGCGTAGGGTGGGGCAGCGGCGGCACAACAAATTTGGTTTTAGAGAGAAGAGAGAGAAAGAGAGTTGGGAAAATGGGGGAAACCCCCTTTTGGTTCAACATAATTTTTAAAAAGCGACCGACATCATCTCTTTGTCCTTCGCTTTTTAAAAATATTTAATCAAAATTTTGACTAAAAAGCAACGGACTAAGAGATGGTGTCCGTCGCTTTTTTTAAATGTTTGACTAAATATTTTGACCAAAAAGTGACGGACTAAGAGATGTCGTCCGTCGCTTTTTCAAAAACTAATTAATAAAATAAAATAAATTAAAACCGACGAACAACGTGGTTCTTATTTAATTTATAAATCATTATTTTTATTAAAAAGCGCCGAACGACATCTCCCTCTATATTAAATTAATAATTTATATATATATATATATATATATATATATATATATATATATATATCACAAAAATCCGCGAAAAAGTGACGGAATAAGAGATGTTGTCTGTCGCTTTTTGTAAAATAATTTTAAAATTATTATTTTTATTAAAAAGCGACAGACATTGTGACAAATGACGTCGCTTGTAGGAGCGACATTATTCATCGTTTTTTAGGCAGTTTTTTAGTGGTAATCGATTTGGACAACTTAGTTACTTGTACACTAGTGTAGTAGAATTAAATATGATAGAATGAACCTTATTTTAAATGGTGTTCCTACTTTGGCGACCTTTTTCCTCCCTCTTCCTCTTTCTACAACCCTTTGAGGTTTTGCTCTTCACTAGGCAACTTGGGATTGGAGTTGGTTCAAGATTGAAGATATATTGTGGGTTGATTGCGACTGGATGTCGTTCCATGGTCACTACAAAAAAATAACATTTAGCGACTGACGAAATTTGTCGCTAATCTATGTTATTTTGTCACTAAACTGGATTAGCGACGGATTGTTGGTTTTTGCTATTTCTCTCATAGTAATCTCTTAGCGACGAAAATATGAGTTTCGTCGCAAATTTAGCGACGTAATAGAGACGAACGATTTCCGTCGCAACTTGTTAGTGACAGATTGGTCCGTCGTTATACTTTTATAGCTCGTCACTAATTTCATAATTAATTTCGTCAATTATAATAAATTCGCAATGAAATTTCTGTCACTAATTTGTCACAAAATATTCTGTTATTTGACCCATCGCAAAGTCCACTTAAATGTTTCATTGCTAATCCATTGCCAACATTTTTTTATAGTAATAACCAAATCGTCATTAAATTTGTTGCTAAAATTTTTCTTGTAAAATCATTTCATTTTTTTTAAACATACACTGCTAAAATAAATTAAATAACAATTACTGAATACCTCTACGATAACAAACATTTGTATAAAATAATATTATGTGTGTTCAAAATCTGTAGATAGAAAGTCAAAATCATATACTTCCGATGCAAAATATGAAAAGAAACATATCAATTATTCTTAAGAGGAACATTTGCTTCATGTAGTATGTTTTTGTTTCAGATCCGTATACTCTTCTCTTCTTTTATATCTCGGTAGCTCGATAGTATGCTTGATGAGAGCTCAGTAGTTTTCTCTCGTCCATAAAAGAGTGCAAACCTGTTATGCAATAACCAATAGTCCAAAGATACTTGGTAATTGGGAACAAATGAGATACACTGGATTTATCCAATAACTTGCCTGATCAGCCAAAATACACAACTTCAAACTCCATGCAACTCAAAATTTCCTAAATAACAGGTCTACTTTTAAGAACATTAAGTTAAAATAAAAAAGGATATAACAGAACAAAACTACAACACTATCTAATCAATATATTCAAAACAATGGTGTCATTTTCTCATAATTCCCCCAACTTTTAATATATGAGTAATCTATATCGGGTGAAAAATATAACTATATCATTGATCAACTAAGCTTCAACTTCATATTAGATTGGACTGGTTTCATGAATCCTCCATATCTATTCTTCTTTAGTCAAGCCCAATTCACTGGAACAAGTCTTTTGATTGCAAATTACGAGCTCTAGAAAATTAAAGGTTCCTTGAATCTCTCACTTTTCCTTACACTGAGGTTCAAGTTACTTAACAGAAGAAAATCACTGATGATTTATAAGTCGCACAAAGAATTAATTTTACTGGAATACCTAAAACCTTATCACTAATTGCAAAATTTGGAACTCTAGAACTCTAGAGGTTCCCTTAGCCTCTCACTTTTCTTTACAGAACTACAACCCTCTCAAACAGAACAACAACACAAATGATTTACAATTTGCACCAAATGTAAACATTTACAGGGGCTTTCTGCTGAGTAACAACACAAACATAGTCCTTTACATGGACGTTAATAGATGTAATTCTAGCTGCCTACACAATCTTAAACACATCTATAATATATGATATGATATGCCATTTTGTGATAATGAGTGAGTGATACATTAATGCGAGGATGTAAAATGCTAGAAATAAATTAGAACAAATAAGATGATTGAAATCTAATGTCACAAATATTGATTACTTTGCTATTATATCTCGCAAAATGACAAGAGAGCTCATAGTCCTCAGTTATTCACGTGTAAATTCATTGCAACAAGTGTAAACTAAAAGCAAGTAAAAAATAATCTAATATAATATTCATTCGATTGTTCTGTTATGAGCTAATATCAATTCGCCTAATGCAGTTCCCCATAACAATTTCATAAATTGATATTTCTTAAAATGTTGGCAACCATGAGAATCAATTCTTAACCTATATGAAATTCATGTTTAGAAGAAGTCATCGGAAATAAGAATGCTATTGTCATACAACTCTATTTATGAGGCTATTATAAGGTAAAGATCAAAACGTGAAGCCCCCATAATCATGGATTGAGCCAGTGAGATGGCCAGATGGAAGTATAAAAATAACAAACCTTTCAAGAGATCTCAAAATCTCATAATATAGGAGACAAATAAGCAATAGTTACTTCAGTAACATGTATCTAAACACATAAAAATTAAATTCATAGAGATGAAAAATATATTATACATTTCTAACATCAAAGGAAACACATCCATAGTAAAAATAATCAGGTCGGTAGCCGGCATGAGCAGCTGGAAAATGAACTTTTTTCAATAACCTTAAAACATCAAAAACATAAAAATCAATTTGTAAGATATCACTATAGTTGCAACATTAATAATTGAAAATGAGAAAATAACAAAGACAGTAGCAAGCTAAAATTTGAATTGAAAACATTCACACAATATAAGCAAACAACAATCACACTTCAAATCTAAAAGTTTGCTCTAAATAAATCAAAGTATTTAATAGATAGCAAATAGGTAATAGGAGGACATACTGGTCGGAGCAGCCTTTTGTGTCGCTATTATTTTTTTTTCTATCGAGCAAATGTTGGTGGTTCATCGCCTGTTGCTGTCACGGCTGCTGCTGGTTGCTGTCACCGACTGCTGCTGTTTGGAGTCGTTGGTTCTTGGTGGCTTGCCAAGCGGATCTGTTGTCCACTGGAGCGGCAGCGCTGCAGAAGAGAGGAAGAGCAGCTGCTAGTGCTGGCGGAGAGGGAATGGAGTAGGGCGACTATTGAGACGCGGAAGAGGGGCGGAGAGGAGAGGAGAATGACATCTCCTCTTATTCTCATAGAAAATGGCGGATAAAGAAGAGAAGAGGAAGAGAAGATAGTGGCGTGCGGCGGATCTAAAAAGAAGAAGAATGAGAAATTAGGTTTGGGTCTTTTGGCAAATTATAATAGAAAAAACTAGGGTATTATATCTTGACCGTAGAATTATTTTGAAATGAGAGTCTAAGATTGAAAGATGAGATCAACGGTCAGGATTAAAAGACAGTGATTGTGTTGAAATCTTAAATTGGAGTGAACTGCAATGGAATTAGTGACATATTCCAACATGCGTCACTTTTAAATAAATATATATATTTTGAAAAAATTATATTGACGGATATTTTCGTCACTATATAATACAATTTTTATAAAAATCCATTTAATAGTTTAGCAACTTTTTTTCCGCCACTAATTCGCCGCTCAATATTAATTAAATTTGTCACTACTATTTTGTTACTAAATCTGTAGCGAAAATTATGCGCCATTTTTTCATGCTAATATTTAGCGACGGATTAAATATTTTGTTGTAAATCCGTTGCCATATTATAGACAATTTGTTTTTGTTAATTTTGCAACAAAATGATTATTCCATCGCAAATTTGTCATTATATAGTGACGGAATATTTTTCGTCGCTAATATCCGTCGCTAAACACTATTTTTTTTGTAGTGAGTGTTATTGATGTTTGTTTTTATGAGATCCTCATTGGAGTCTACAGGCCCCAAGGTTTACTCTTGCTAGCTAGACGGCTGACGTCCCTAGGAGTTTATTGATTGGTTGGGTGGCCTTGAATGGTTACTCAGGGTAAAAGGTATGGTATTATTGACGCCCCTGAGTTTGCTCTTGCTAGCTGGTTAGCTGAAGATCATAGGAGTTTACGAGATAAATGGCCCCTTTCTAGCTGGGAAGTGTTAGTAGCTAAGTATTCTGTGTATATGTTTGTCTTATGAAGGTCCGTTCAGATTTTGCTTAAACTTACGCATGAGTGTACCTTTTGGACTTATGGAGGTCCAGTTAAGTTTAGCTTAGTTGTACTTAGTTTTTATTTCTTGTACGCTCGTGCACTTTTTTTTAAATTAATTTTGCTTTGACCTGTGTTTGTGTTTAGATTCTATAGTATATTCATACCATAATATCTGAACAGTAAGAACTCAACCCTTCTTCGCAAGGTCTTTAAGTTGTAGGATGCGCAAAACATATTTTCGTATCGTCTTTATCTTTCGTTCTTAGTCAACTTATGATGCCTACTAAGTATCTTTGTTCACGGTACTCATGCTACGTTGTGCATCTATTTTATGATGTTGGTCCTAGTACCAGTTACCATCTATGGTTGTTCGCACATGCAACAACTTTTGTGGATCGAAGGAGAGGTGAAGACTCGACGTTCTGAACTTGCATGTCTCCTTCTATATATTGTATATCTAGTCTTTTGTATTTTGAGACAAGCTTGTTATGGTCCACTTTTGGGACTTGCATTCTTTTGTTAGATCAACTCTGTACTTGTTACCTTAAGATTTTTGGAAGGATCTTTTATGTATATTGTTTGTGTTTGCGTTAGCTTTTACCTTGCTCTGTTGTTTAAATTTTGGTTCTGCAAGTATTCTAACCTTAGACCATCTCCAATCCAACACCAAATTTTACAGCAAATAGTTTTGGAGCTCCAACCCAACACCAAATTTTACACCATTTTGATGTGTGAATAGTGTTACACCAAATTTGGTATAACACTAGTCATCACTCCAATTCACTTTATTGAATATTTTGATATTATTTTATTATATATAAATTGTATGTTTTAATTAAATTTCTTGTATATATAATTATTTTTATGTAATATTTTTGTAATATTAATTTTAGATACAAAAGTTCGTTTTTTTATAAGTTAATTTTCTATATATGACCTTTTCAAAAATATGAATTTATGTTAATTCTATTGTAAATTATAGGTATAATGCACAAGTACCCCCTCAACCTATGCCCGAAATCTCAGAGACATACTTATACTATACTAAATTCATATTACCCCCTGAACTTACTTTATTAATAATTTTCCATCCCTTTTGGGCCTACATGATACTATCTTGTAGGCCCAACGCTGATTGACTTTTTTTTCAAGCTAGTGCCACATAGGCCGAAAAGGGGTAGAAAATTACACATAAAATATGTCCGGGAGGGGGGGGGGGGTAATAGGACCTTAGTATAATATGAGTGTTTCTCTGGAATTTCGGGCATAGGTTGAGGGGTACTTGTGCATTTTCTCTAAATTATAATTGGATATAACTACAATTAATCTGCACAAAAATTTAAAAAGCAAACATATTATTAAACAAATAGTACAATGTACTTAAAAATAATAAACAATAATAAATATTCAACAAAGTTGTAATTTACATACATCAAAATTGAAGTATAAAATACATACATAATATTTTTGTATTATCCATTAGGAAAAATGCACAAGTCCCTAGACTATGACCAAAATCCTAGAGACACACCTTAACTAAACTAAGGTCCTATTATCCCCCTGAACTTATTCATTTTGCAATTTTATATACCTTTTGTCTTATGTGACACACACCGTGACTCCATGCAATTAAAGCGTGGGGAGATATTTGAATGCCACATTAGCCAAAAAGGTGCACAAAATTACACAAAAAATAAGTTCAAGGGGGTAATAGGACATTACAATAGTTAAGGTGTGTCTCTGGGATTCATAATCTAGGGGGGTACTTGTGCATTTTCCCTATCCATTATTATGTATAACCAGGTAAATTGTCCGCGCTTTGAGCGGGTATAATCTACCTCAATTAGGTTCTTATTGATTTTGTATTATAGTTGTTAATCGATATGGTTTAAGGCTTGCTCCCTCTTTCCCCCCATTATGAATATCTTTGATTTGATTGTTCTGAATAATACATCGAATAATTTATCCTTGACTTTAACTTGTCATATTAACAGTTTAAACAACAAACTGACCAATTATGGTTCGAGACATCTAATATTTACAAAAAAGCTGTCAAAACTGTGTACATGTATTCCCTCTTGAATGACAAATGAACAATTTTATATTATATTCAACCTATATTCTAATAACATGGATAATAAACCATTGTTGTCGTTTTACATAGATTCTATAGTAAGTTCACCCATTTTCACAAGAATGAGAAACCACATATTTTTCACACAGTATTATAGCAATTTTAATTTATACGACACCTTAAAGGGTAATCTGTTTGCTTTGAAATAGAGAATTTCCTATTTGGGTTGAGTGGTGTCAGTGAGGGTTCCAACTTTTCTTCTCTCTATTTTCTCCAAGTTCTATCTTAGATTTGAGACACATGTCATAGTTTACAATTAATGAATGCGATCTAATTGATTAAAGTAAAGTCCTAACCATGATTATTTACTTCCATATATTTACTTCTTAAATATTTTTTCGATCCAACAATTCAAGATTTACATTATATTTTTCCTGAATATATTTAAAAGAATTTCTTTTTCTAATTGTTGAGTTTTTCTTTTTTGCCTAACGTTTTCCATTTCTCCAACAATATTTGCCAAATAAAAATTAAAAATTGTAGTGACACTTTTTTTTTATAATTTTAGGAATTTTTTTTGTACAGTCACTTAACTTTAAATTCTTACTCTCTAAATGGAGTTCATATTACTCTATAGACATTATAGATCTTAATACTCTATAAGAATAATAAAAACATTTAACCTTATTATAATTTTTTTCCAAAGAAGTTAAAATATTTAGTAAAACTTTTATATATGTATGCTGGGCAGTAAAGAATTCTTTTTAATATATTTAGGGAAAATATAATGGATTCCAAAAATATTTAAAAAGTAAATATATGGAAGTAAATAACTATTGTTAGGACTTTACTTTAATCAATTAGATCTCAACCAATAATTCTAAATTATAACACGTGTCTCTAATCCAAGCTAAAATTTTAGGAAAATGGAGAGGAGGCGAATCCGTCAGTGTGCCACGCAACAGGAGAAAAATATACAAATATTTAATTGTAATTTTTGTTGTTTTAAAATGAGAGAAAATCCTTCTATTTGTAGACAACAAAAGGTAGTGTGTACAAATGTTTATTAAGCCTTATCAGAAAGATTACAACTATTTGGAAAAGTTACAAACCTTCGGTAAGGCCACAACATTTCATAAAAGTAAAAGTCACAACTTTTCATATTTTACAACTTTTCATGAAAAAGAAAGCATAGTTTTGTACATAAATAAATTAAAAGGGAATTCTGATTTGTGGTGGTGCTACATAGGCGGGCCTAAAGTTCTCTTTTTATATATTTTCATATAAAAGAAAATGATATGAAAGGTATACAAATATAAATATCTTTTATTTTTAGCTTTAGACTAGAAAATACTCTTTAGGAAAATGATTTCTGATTTGAAGAAGAGGAGTTAGAATACATGAAAGGTTGGGTAAGAGAATGTGAAATATGGAGAAAGATGGTTAATGGGTAGTTGTTTAATTATTTTTTTCTTTTTAAAAAAGTTTATTGTTTTTAGAATTTGATCTAATGTAGGAGTGTTTTGATAAATAAAAGAAAATTTAAACAATAAAGTCTGAATAAAAAATATTTTTTAAAATATTGCTGACATTTTAGATAAATATTTTAAAGTGTTATTGTTTTTAACTAATTATGTTATATATTATGACTTGATTGCTTTTCCCATAAAAATATAAATATCTTTTATTTTTGTCTTCAGACTAGAAAATACTCTTTAGAAAAATGATTTCTAATTTGAAAATCAACCCGATAATTGAGTACCCTGATGCCTAAGCTAGGACAAGACCCCGAAGACTATTTGACCCTGAGATCTTACCCACCATTTTGCCTCGTATATATTTTTTTAAAAATATTTGACGGGGGTGGCCTAGGTGGGGGTTGGGGGTGAGGATGACGTAAAAAATGATTATTTTTTTTAAAAAATTGAAATATTTTCCAAAGAGATTTTCTTTAAAATATAAAAATTGATGGGGTGGACTAGGCGGGGCAGCGGCGGCAGCAAGTGGCGTATAACTGATTTTTTAAAAATAAAATTGAAATATTCTTTCAGATACACTTTTTGTAAGA